AAGCCCTCCCCTGGTAGGCCCGGTCCACCCTGGGAAAGCCTGTGGTGGGGGGGGTGGGGGACCTCCAAAACGCCTCCCATGGAGGTGGAGAATCCCTCGGAGGCCTCGGGCAGCGGCGATAGCGGTGGCGGGGACCCCTGGAAGGCTTCGGACAGGTAAAGTCAATTTTAATTTTTTTGGGGGGGGGGTATTTTTTTCTTGGCCGGGTTACGGATACAGGGTTTTCAATGCATTCCTATTCGAAACGGACCCTCAACCTACAGACTTTTCGACCTGCGGCCACCGTTCCAATACGGATTATTTCCATAGGTCGAGGGTCCACTGTATGAAAATAAGCATCCTTGAGGTCTGCAGTAACAGTGAACAAGTCACCATGATGGAGCATCTGGATAGTGTTGTCTAAAGAGATCATATGGAACCGCTGAAGAGTAATGTAGGAGTTGAGATGACAGAGGTCCAAGATGGGACGGAGACCACTGTCTTTCTTTGGAATTGTGAAGTAACAGGAGTAAAAGCTGAGTGCCATGTCTGCTTGATGTACCTGTAAGATAGTATCCTTTTGAAGTAAAGAACATATCTCCTCCTCCAAAGTGGGAAAGGGATTGGTGATCTTGATCAATCCTGTCAGGGGGAGCATATTGAACTCGATGGCACTGCCCCTGGCAATGATGGTGAGGACCCAAGAGTCAAGGGTGACACGCTGTCAGGAGTTGAGAAAGGGGGCTAGGTGAACTGAGTTATTGATGACTGCTGGTGCATGGACAAGTCAAAGGCTCTGCCTCGTCTTGTGGTCAGGCCCGCAAGTGGATTGGCATGTCTCCCTGCCTGCTGACAATAGGAGGCAGGTGGAAGACCAGAAGCTTGAGGCCTCTGGTGATCCTGAGGGGGTCTATAGGAGTAGGGACAGCGCCGGGCATTTCATGGCCGATATTGCTGGCTGGTGTATGTTCTGGCCATTTTCCTCACTTCAACAAGTTGTCTAGGATTGCATCCATTTTTTTCATCAAATAGACTGATGCCATCACAGGGAAGTTCCTCAATCCTGGATCTCACCTCTTCTGATATGCCCGCAGAAGGCAACCAGGCATGACGATGCAAAGTGACCACAGTAGCGATCTGCTTAGAGGCAGCATCCACCACGTAGCATGCTGCAATGTACTCTTGTTGTGCCAGAGCCAGAGCCTTTTGGTGGCTCGGACATCTTCTGGTGCAGCCTCCAAGGCGAGCAGCGCCTTGTTCCAAAGGTGGCGGTGATAAGTACCCATTGCTGCAGTGTAATTAGCCATCCTCAAAATGAACTGAGCCAGAGAATAGACCCGGTGGCCGACAATGTCCAACTTCCTACCATCCTTATTGTTCAGCATTTTCACAGAATGATTCCTGGCCCTGTTCTGCATAGCATTGATAGAAAGGAGTTAGGTAGAGGGTGTTTTGAGAGGTAGTCTGTGTTGTCGCTGTGGGTTTTGTATAGATTTTCTAACCTCCTGGGGATCTGGTGGGCTGAAGACGGCTTGTTCCATGACTCCTTACCAAGCTTAAGGAGAGATGATATAAACACCAGGTGGAGAGGAGGACTTGGTCTTAAGTGATATCTTCACAGACCTTGTCCACCTCTTACAACACTGGTTGGTCCACAGCTAGATCCATAACCTTTGCAATTCTCAGTATCAGCTGAGAATACGAGGAATAATCCCCTGATAGAGAGGGAGGGTGGTTCTCCGTCACATCGGAGTCTGGGGTGGAAATGTTTGCTGGGGAGTCTTTTGCTAGCTCGAATTGGACGCCTCCTAGTTGGTGTCAAGGCCAATGGAGACCTGTTTAAGTGTTGGGAGAGAGATCCTCATGGATAGGCATTGGACGGTAATCATTGGGTTCAAGATGGGTCAGGCAATGCTCTTTTTCCCTCTCCCACTCAGGTTGTCATGGAGGCAAGTCTCATGAGGACCTATACTGTGGACACAGCTGCGGTCAAGATTGATTTGATTTTTGATTTAGTCATCCTTCGGTCTCGAGAGAAAATGGTAATGTGCTCTGTATGGAGGACTTAGAACAGCATCTAGTGTGGCCGAGAAGGCCAATTTGAGAGTGACAATCCTTTCCACATTGAAGACAAATACAATCTGTCCCCTGTCCAGCTCCCTGATTTTGCTTGTTTCGGGACTACCTCTGCCTTGGCCTGCTGGACAAGTGTCTCTTCAAATTGGAAGAGGCCATGATGCACTGCCTGCCTCCAGGCTGAACGCTCAGATGTCAAGGTTTCCCATCTGTTGAGGTCCATTCCTTAGGCCTTCAGATCCCGCTTGCAGATATCCTTGTATCGCAGCTGTGGTCTTCCTCTGGGGTGCTTTCCCTGCACTAATTCGATACAGGAGATCTTTTGGAATCCGACCATCAGCCATTCTCATGACATGCCCAAGCCAATGTAGCTGTCACTGTTTCAGTAATGTATATATGCTCAAAATTTCAGCTTGTTCTAGGACTACTCTATTTGGAACTTTATCCTGCTAGGTGATACCAAAAATGCATTGGAGACAACGCATATGGAAGGTGTTCAGTTTCCTCTCCTGCTGTGCACAAAGGGTCCAGGACTCACTGCAGTACAGGAGTGTACTCAGGACACAGGCTCTATAGACCTGGATCTTGGTATATGTTGTCAGCTTCTTATTAAGCCATACTCTCTTTGTGAGTCTAGAGAACATGGTAGCTGCTTTGTCAATGCATTTATCCAGCTCGACATCTAGAGAGTGTGTCAGAGATCGTTGAGCCAAGGTACACAAAGTCATGAACAACCTCCAATTCTTGTGTGGAGATGGTAATAGAAGGAGGTGAGTCCACTCCCTGGCCCATGACTTGTGTTTTCTTCAGCTGATTGTTAATCCAAAGTCTTGGCAAGCCTTGCTAAAACAATTCATGAGTTGTTGGAGGTCTTCAGCAGAGTGGGCAACAGCTGCATAATTGGTGAAGAAGTCCTGTATGCATTTCAGCTGGATTTTGGTCTTTGCTCTCAATCTAGAGAGATTAAAGAGCTTTCCATATGATCTAGCCCGGAGACAGACACCTTCTGTTGTAGTTCCAAAGGTGTGCTTAAGCATGACAGCAAAAAAGATCCCAAACAGGGTCGGCATGAGGACACAGCCATTTCACTCCGCTTCGGATGTCAAAGGGATCTGATGTTGAGCCATCAAAACCTACGGTGCCCTTCAGGTGCGCTCCCTGCCCATCCCTGGCGTAGGTCTACCATGAATAAGGACTGCCAAAGGCGCAGGTCTACTCACGACTAAGGGTGGCTAAATGTTGGTCTACTCATGAGTAAGGCCTGCAGAAGTTGCGGGTCTACTCATGAATAAGGGTGGCTGAAGGCGCTGGGCTGGGCTGAGGTGCACAGGTGGAAGGGGCTCCTCCATGGCAGTGGTGCAGGAGGAGGCTCCCCTCCGGCAGCGAGTGCCATCAGAGGAGGTTTCAGTCTGCCTGGTAAGGTGCTGCTTTTTCCTTTTTAGAAACTTCTGGGTGGGTTTTGCAGGGTAGGTTTGGGCTGTGTTGTTTTTTGCAGTCCCAGTGTGGGGATTGCTAGAAGTTTATTTCTGGGGGGTTTGTTTTGTTTTGTTTTTGCAGCCTTCGGGGCTTGCTCTGTTTATTTTTTTATTTTTTGTAAAAGCCCCAGTGCCTTCTGATGGGGCTTTCTGTGTGCTTTATCTTTTTTTTGGGTGTGTGTGTATTTTTTTTGAAATGCCGGAACAGATTAATCCTGTTCCCATGCATTTCAATGGGAAATGGTGCTTTAACTTACGAAAATTTAGAGTTATGACCACTGTTCCAATACGGATTAATTTCTTAAGTCGAGGCACCGCTGTTTTCCAAAAAGGAACGAGAGGTAAGCTCCAAAGCCGAGGTGCTGCTGCAAAAGCAGCAAGAAAGTAACGGAGGTACTGAGGTGCTGGAGGCAGGGCTAAGAGTAGCGTGGGGGTGGTGCTGGTAATATATGCTTAAGCTCTAGAATATTCTGAGGTTTCTCTGCACAGGTGACTAAAACCCATTAGTGTGCATTCACAGAGACCACAAAGTATAAGATTTATTAATTTTCTTAGTAAAAACAAATATAATTCTTCAACAGGTGACTGGTCTCTTGAACAGCAGGATTACACCTAAATCCAGTGAGAATTTGAGAAGGTCACTAATTGCTACTGTAAATTGAGAGGTCCTACCTGGCAAGGCTGTTGTGCTATGAAAGGAAGCACATAGTCAATGGTTTACTTCCTTGTAAGCAGGCAAGTGTTCTCTTTTAGGTCAGGTTTGTCCATGGGGCTTGTACTACGCACTTCTGAGGCCTAAAGGACCTACCTAAGGCAATAAAGGTGGTAGTTTTGCACCCACAGTGACTCCCTGATGAAGATCATTTTCTCTTTAGGGAGAGGTGATCATGACAGTACTCATCTCACAAATACATACCCAGATCCTGGTTATGTGCTGCTTCTTGTCCTTCAAAATACAGTAAGCTATAGCCACTCCACAGTTTGCTCATGCCAACCGGACACATTGGCTCTTGATTTGATTGGCTATGCTTCACCAGAAGGTATCCTATGTTAATACTGCGGCCTGGCATACCTGGTAGTCCAGGAGTACCTGGGGTACCTGGGGCACCTGAGGAGAAAGAAAAGCAAAGGCAGAAATTAAACAGCTTTTAAAGATTAAATAGCCAACTTGGGAGAAAGGTGGGGTAAAATATATTGAAAATACCATAGTTGTTCAACTTCTCTAGCGTTCTTTCCTGATGAAAGCAAAAGTACATTCTTCAGATTATCAGGGAGACTTTTACAGTTGAACAGCTAAATGAACTGTTAAAGATGACTTGTTTTCTGGGTGCTATGAATCTTTGTCCTGCTTATGAGGAAAAGCAGAGATAGGAGAGTGAAAAGCTGGACACGGGAATTACCAGAAAAACCATCAGACCGCAGTGTCGAGCGATTAAGAAGGGTGGAAGAGGAACAGCCCCAGTCCCCTAAAGATGCTTCTGGAGAGAAGACTCGGGAAGCTGTTGGAAAAGAGGAGGGAAGGGCTACCTCTCTGACCAGTCTTACTAAAATTAACATGGAAAAACAACTCTCTGATATAGCTGCGGGCTTAAAGGGGCTGGAGAGTAAGAGGGACAAAAAAATGGAACAGGTCCTTTCCAAAATGGACTTTTTGATAAAAGAGAATCAGCAGTTGAGAAAGGATGTTAAAACACTACAGGGAGAAGTGGTAGATATTAAGGCAAGCCTAGAGAAAATGGGACATGGCGGCGCTGTGGGCTAAACCGCAGGAGCCTGTGCTGCAGGATCGGAAGACCAGCAGTCGTAAGATCGAATCCACGCGATGGAGTGAGCGTCCGTCGCTTGTCCCAGCTCCCGCCAACCTAGTGGTTCGAAACCATGTAAAAATGTGAGTAGATAAATAGGTACCACCTCGGTGGGAAGGTAACAGCGTTCCGTGTCTAAGTTGCACTGGCCATGTGACCACGGAAGATTATCTTCGGACAAAACGCTGGCTCTATGGCTTGGAAATGGGGATGAGCACCACCCCCTAGAGTCTTTTTTTTCTTTATTGTTATTGTTAACGGCATCAAGCCATACAAAATTGAATACAAAACTTCAAAGACTGGCATGCACTACAAAGTCATACAAAAGGTAAAATATCTAAAACAGCAAATATAGCAATGTAAGGCCAAGGTCTAAGGGTTTAGCTGTCTAGTCTGTCTGCTATAGCATGCTGCCCAAAATTTCGCTACCAGTTCTGTAGTAGTCCAATTTTGGTCGGTTAACAATTGATTACAGTAATCCGAATCTGATTGGCCTGCCATATCTTTTAAGAGTGCTGTAATATATTTTCCTCGGATCTCATTATGCCTGTTACACCTGAGCATCATGTGCTCGATAGATTCTATCTCGCCAGAGCCACAAGGGCAGAATCTCTGTTCCCTCGGGATTTTCTTAAATCTGCCTTCCAGCACTGCAGAAGGGAAAGCCTCGCATCTAGCCAGAGTAAAGGCTTTCCTAAACTTATACGTTTCCAGCTGTGATAGGTAGGCCATAGGGAGCGGACAATATTTATGCATGTCTGTTGCTCTAAAATTGGGGCATCTACTGAGATCTGCCTGTGTCTCCATATCCATTAATCTCTGTTTAAGGGCTGATTTTGCTTCATCCCATTGCATGCTTAATACTGTTTGAGGAGAGAAGCCCATTACTTGCAATTTATTTAGGACCGCTTTTAACCAGCTCGATTGGAAGTTGTCAGCTAGGAGTAGGTGTGTTAATCTCTGTGATTGAAAGTTTATTTTAAGCCAGTACTGAAGGGAGGCTAGTACAATTTTGGCTACCATTTTTCTAATCGGTCTCTAATCGGATTTGTGCATTCGTTACGCATCTTGGGACTTCAAGTATTGCTCTAAGGAATTTTGACTGAACCCGCTCTATCGGGTCAAAACTACTGGGTGAAGGCCCCATAAAGGTGCCATAGAGCATCTAGCTGACCACCTTTGCTTGAAAGAGTTTTTGGGCTGCTGGAATATAACAACCCCCTTTTGAATGGTAGAACCTTAGGATGGTGTTTGCTGTTTTTTCCCCTTGGGTGGCTGCATATTGGATATGGACATTCCTGTCCCCTGTGGATTGCAGGGCCATGCCCAGGTATTTAAAAACAAGAGACCTGTTGAAGAGGTTGCCCATTTATAATCCAAGATCTTTTCCCACCTCGGTGGGAAGGTAACAGCGTTCCGTGTCTAAGTCGCACTGACCATGTGACCACGGAAGATTATCTTCGGACAAAACGCTGGCTCTATGGCTTGGAAATGGGGATGAGCACCGCCCCCTAGAGTTGAACACGACTGGACAAAAATTGTCAAGGGGAACCCTTACCTTTACCTAGAGAAAATGGAGGCCAGAGTACAACAATTGGAAGATTTCCAGGGGGAAACAAAAAAGCAACATCAGAAAGTAGATGATTTGAGAAGAAAAAATATTTACATTGAAGATAACTCAAGATGTAATAACATCAAAATAATGAATTTTGAAAATAATAAAGGGACAGATCTTAAGCAGGAAGTGGTGGGCTGGATTAATTCTATTATAAATACCCAACATCTGACAGAAGGAGATATAGAGAGAATACATTTTGTTGGGAATCCCAGAAGCATGAGACTGAGACCATAATACTGAAATTTTTCAACTATGTTAAGAAAGAGCAATTTCTTAAGGTCATCAAAGAAAAGCCAGAATTGATAGTTTATAGATGAAAACCAGTTCAGATTTACCAGGATTTAAGTAGTGAATCTATACAGTGGAGGAAAACGATGAAACCCATCACATCAATCCTAATTAAGAATGGAAAAAAATACAACTGGGGTCATCCTGTCTTTCTAAAAATATGGAAGGGTGGAGTCTTACAAAAAAGATACTCTTTGAAGGTGGCAAGAGTCTGATGATGGCGTGGGGGATCTGGCACGAAAATCAAAGTGAACAAGGTGCAAGCAAGTAGACCTGCAATGAGTGGAGGTTTGAAAGAGAAGATATTCTGAATGGAAGAAACAATTGGAGGTGATTGGACATTTGATGATTCCTCCCTTCCTCCTTTTTAAAACACGGTAATCAACCTGTGTGTTTTTTTTCTTTTGCATGTTTTCCCGGTGGGCTTTTTTCTTCCCACCGGTGGTTCTTTTTTTCTTCACTTTTTTTAACACGGTAAATGGCTTGTGGTTTTACTTTTTACGTTTTTTTCTTTTTTCTTTTTTTGTTTTTCCAGAGGCGTTTTTTTTCTTTTCTCTCCTCACCTGTGTGGTGTTTTGTTTTTTTCTTTTTCTCTGCTTTTTAAAAAACACACCAATTGGTCCAAGGTTTTTATTTTTTAAGATTTTTATTCTCTTTTGTTCACTTTCCTGGTGGTTTTTTTTTCTTTTTTCACTTTGGGG